ACTGAATGATTTTTCAGAGGATTCTGTTGATGAAATTCATAGAAGAAATGTTTAATGTGACATTTTTAGAATAAAATGTTTTTCGTAAGTACGAGGAACAATGAAAAAGTTTAACAAATGTTCTGACAATGGAAGATGGAAGACAGGCACACATATTTTCTCCTTAATAGAGAAAAACAATCACATAGGCCATTCTTCTCAAGGAAAGAGTGTAAAACTATCTGCAAAGGGCTGTGAATGCTTTTAGCAAATAATCTGAAACTAGAGGACCAGAAATGTGGATTTTAATGAAACTATACGAGAGTAATGCACATATAGCAAACTTTCAGTGCATTAAATAGTACAGGTAAAAGCAATAATACAGCATAGTAGGGAAGAGTGTAGTGCTGGCTGAAGTCAGGCTGCCTGGTTTGAATCCTGTCTCTGCCACTTATTAGCTGAAGGGCCTTGGACAAATTTTTTAATTTTTTTTTTCATTTTCCCTTTGTCTCACCTGTGAAATGGAACTAAAAAAGTACTTACCTCAAAGGAGAAACAAGTGAGCAAACATATTTTAAACTGCCAGGTGAGTTTAACATGTTAGGTATGAATATTAGTTGCTATCATTATTATTAATACTATTAGGCACATCACATTTAGATTTAAGAACAAATATCAAGGACTTTCATGTTCCTTTCCACCGATAGCTCTGAATCTAAAAACCCCACAAACAGAAGATACTATTTTTTCAGTGAATCCACCCATCCAATCAGTCAATCAGTTATCCATGCCATTCACTCAACATTCAAACAGTATGTGAATTTTCAAATGTGCTGAAGTCATCGCAATTCAAGAATAATCCTCAAATTTTGAAGTCAATCAGTGACAAAATATAATTTACTATGTAGTAGACTTAAAAGCATTCTCAATTTTTATTTTCTTCTGTATCTTTAATTATATACTGAAAGAAAAACAAGAGAATTTTGCCCTTGAATTCTTAAACCAATTCTCAGTTAAGAACAGATTATGCCAGAGAAAAACACTCTTTTTAAAAAGTCTATGACAGAGCCTATTTAAATAAGAGAGTACCATATATTCAGTATATATTCCTCCTTCTCTCTATTTTGTCTCTAACTGGATCAAAGGTTCTCTGGCTTCAGGGATGGACTTGTATATGTCTACCTTATGTGTATGTATATAACAGTGCCATTGTAAAGACATTCAATAAATATTCGCTTGACATATAACTAAATGAGAGATTTGCCTAAATAGCTTTGTAGTCTGTTGATTTTGGTCAAAGAAAAAAGCAAAACTGTTATTGTCTTATAATGGTTATAGGTAAATATGGAGTCCAGAATTTTTCTTGTAATTGTGTGCTTTATTTGTATTTTATAAGACATTATTTAATTTAAACATATATTTTTAAAATTATTATGAAAAACATAAATTCTTCATTTAAGTTGAATTTGTTTAGAAGGCCTCCATGTGGTTAACATCTAGATAAATTTAGAATAAAATTATTTTTTTAAAAAGTTAGCATCTAATAGAACAAAATTATGTTTAAAGTCTCATATTTTGAATATTAAAGTTAACGATCTCATCTTGGACATTGTCCTTATTTTTCAGTTTCTTCATTGTCAAAAAGCAATCTGATATCATTCCATCTCAGTGGTTCTTATGAAGGACTAGCTAATAAAAAGACTTTTAATGTAAGTGGTATAAGAAAGCTAATTCACCCAAAGTATGCTATGTTGTCAGTTTTAAAAGTAGTAATTTCAAAATAAGCAAGTGCCAGTTGGTGCACTTTGGGTCAGTTGTCCCAAAGTGCACCACCTTGGTGGGTGGTGGGGGGAACAACAACCAAGAAATGTAAGAATTGTGAAGTTCATAAATTCTTGCCCAAGGCTAGATGCTGGCCCCGTAGGTGTGGCCCAGGACCTGATCTGGCTGCCGTCCAGAGGGCTGATGCCAGTTCAGGGCCTGTGTGTGCATGCTGCCAGCCCAGCATTTCCTCACTTCTCACAGGACCCCCTTTTAATGTAAAAGACTATTTTTGCAGCATTTCCCTGCTTGATAGTGGTTACATATTTGTTATGCATCAATTAAAAACACAGACTCCAAACCACCCTGAATTTAGTATAGTTTAAAACAAATACATTTTAATAATCACAATGGAGACAATACTTAGATATAACATAGATATTATTTAGGTTTACTAACCCCTTGAAAAAAAAACCCAATTTTTTCCTCAGACTGGGAATTGCCGATCTTGCGGATGTGTTTAAGTGACTTTCTAGTATGAAAATTCCATATGACTTGATTCTTTTCTTCCCAAACTGTTCTATCTTCAAATATGTGTGTGCCTTTAAGAGAAATTATGATTGTACTTCATACTATGTATATGTATTTAAATCAACAATTAACAAAAATTGTTCCCAATTATTAAAGAAGAAGACGGCGATGACGGCATGCGGAGGCAGAGTCGAACCTTCCCTTATGCGTCATGATGGAGTCATTCTCAAAAACTAAGGCTATAAAATTGAGTAAACATAGAACCAATAAAGAAAAGATTTCCTCACATTATGTGAAGGCACATTGCTGTGGAAATTTTTGGGATAAGCACGGCATTTTTTTCGTAGTGATGGTATCTCATGCTTTAAACATCAGCTACAAAGTAAAAAAAATCCCTCCCCACATGTCAATACCAGAGAGCTGAGTGGTGAACGGTGGCCCCATTCTCCCCAGTGTGCTCCCACGCCATCTTTTTTTAGCACAGAGCACAACATTATATTTGATGAAACAAGACATTATTTAGGACTAAAATATATTTCCTGTCACTCCTTGCAAGTACCTCATCACTGTGCAGAACAAGGATCTGCTCTCAGTTGACAAACCATTCTTTCAAATTCTGCCTTAATATTTCAAATAGTTGATCTCTTTCTTTCCCAAACCTACTTTGTAAAACAAAAGCTATTACATAGGCAGCAGTCCCTGTTCCTAATTCTAATTTTCCAAACTGTGATCCCTATCAATGCTCAATAAAACTGTCATCCTTTCCCAGAATTATCTTTCTTGATTCCATTTTGGTTTTACAAAAAAGCAGTTAAGAAAGAAGTTACTTTCTGCCTGATTTCTCAATAGATTGAGAAGCTAGTATAGGAGCCCTTAAGCCTATCTCCCTCCTACTATACACTGATTCATGAATATTAATCACCTACCAAGTACCACCATCCTACCAAGTACCAGCATCAGTTTTTACATTTGAAAATAGATAATTTCAATGAGTGCTAACCCTGTGCTAGGCATTGTGGTAAGCACTGTCATTATTTTCCTTTAAGTTAGATGTTATTATCATCCCTATTTTACATATGAGAAAACAGAGAAAGATTAAATTACTTGTCCAAGAATTCACAAACAGGTGGTCTAAATCCAGAGCCCATGATCTTAACCACTGATGGAAAGATTATGTAAGCATTTGTTTCCAGCACAGAAGTTCTGGACATTAAAGGGTACCACTTGGGGTGAGGAAGAAAGAGGCAAAACTGAAAAGGATTAATAATAAGAAAACAATAAAAAAGTAGAAAGGTAGGAGTTATCAATATTCATCAGGTTCCATTTTCTATTCAAATGTCTTTTTCAGTAATGACTCACTGTTCTTAGGCCCTACAGGGGAATACAATAAAAAGTAAGACAATTTATGTATTCATACGGATCTGAACTTCTGACTTACAAATAAGAACAGTTAAATAATACAAAGTAGTTTCATCAGGTGTGAAGAACCAAGTCTAGAGTTGCATGAGCCTAGGTGGATGATAAAAATTCAAGCTGTAAGAGGTCAGAATGAAAAGATACCTGTAGGGAAAAGAGATCCAGGCCCTTGAGGAGAACTGTGAAAATGAGCAGGATTTGACTAGCTCCACTAAGCGGTAGCCATTCCCCCAAAATGTGACTCCATCAGCACATGCAGCAAAGTGGACATAAGCAAAGACACAGAGTTTTGCACCCTGGCTGGGGTGAGAGGAGTTGGGGAACTAGTGGGAGCGGAGGCTGAAAAAACTGAGTTCAGGTTTGCAGCAGGTCTTGTCCGAAAGACAATGGGAAGTCACTGAAAGATTTTGCACGAGGAAGTGGCAAGATTAAGGCAAAATTGGGGGAAGTGAAATCAAAAGCGGTAGTCTAATGGATGGCAAATAGGACAAAACAAAAAATAATGTAGGGCTTTTTTCATAATTACTGGACTTCGAAGCCATACATGCATGTAGTACCACGCGGAAGCAGAGGCGCTGAGAAGGAAGGCAACTCCTGGGTGGTGGCGGGTATGAATGCAGGGAGAGCGTTTGAACCCCCCAAACTTCATAAAGGTCCCTAAGTCTCACTCCCCGGCCCCCCGCACCCCCCCCCCCCCCCCCACACACGCCCTCCAAAAGCTCCTATTGGGAACACCAGCAAAGGCGGGAAGACTGACTTTCATTCAGATCAGGCCTATCACCCAGAGCAACTAAAACCACCCACAGCAATTCCGGCAGGTGACCGCGCAAAGCAAACCAATCCATCTGGTCCTCGTTCCCCACCTCCAAACGCAGGAGTGAGAAAGAAAGATGGACAAGTTGGGGAGTAGTCCCTGGCTAATCAGAAGGTCATTTTTTCATTCCTCAACCACTCTCTTAGGTGTTCTGGCGGGGCGGGTGACATCCGGACAGTGCTCTGGCCACTCCTCCCCTGGGGGTGATTATGAAACTGCGGACAGTTTGCACCTCACCCCGCTAGTAAGTCCTCAGGCGCGGCGCCAGGCTCCTCCCAAGACTTATAAAGGTCGCACGTCGGTGCATTTGAGCTCTATTGCCTGGCAGACCTGCATCGGAGGGACGTGGTCAACGGGTGCCCCTCTAGTCTTTCTGCCGCGCTCCAGCCGCACCCCCGCCACTTCGCCGCTGCCGCGGGACAGGTGAGCTCCCTCTCCGCCGCCCGCCGCCCAGCCCGAGTGCCCGCGGGCTCCGCCGAGTCTCACCGCTGGGAGCAGGATGGAACCGCGCCGCGCCCGCTGCGTCCGCGCGCTGCTGATCTGCCTGGGTAAGCGCCCGCCCGCTGCCCGAGGGGAGACCAATGCGGCCCGCGTTTCATTTATCATCTGACACTTGGGAAGTTTTCCAGCGGCCTAAAGTGTACTCTTTAAAATGATGTCTCGTGTTAAACTGCTCCCCATTGTGTTAAACTGCTTTTCACTGATAAATTAACTATTGGAATATGTGTCATGCATGAGTGTATATAGCTCCGTAGTAAGCGAAGTAAAAAAAAAAAAGAAGAGAAAAAAGTCGTAAAGCTTTTGGGGTTTTGTTTTGTTTTGTTTTTTGGTTTTTGGGTTTTTTTTTTTTTTTTTTTTTTTTTTTTTGTCCTTTGTAAATTTGCTGTTCTTGAAATCCAAAGACTGGGATGCACTATGGGCATTTCAAGTTGTGTGGCTTCTTCTAGGGGACGACAGGGGGCGGGAGTGGAGACTAGACTCGCGCGTAGGAGACCGTTTAGAAAGGAATACTTTTCTTCCTGTCCTGCCCTCAGTTTCTACCACCAGCCTAGGCAAGCTTCCGGGGGCGCTGGCGTGCGCGGGGGGCAGGTTTGCTGGCGCTCCAGACCCGAATTAAAACGCTGTCCCTGCGTACCTGGAACAGGTACTTGTTGCCGATCCACCCTGACACCTGCCTCTTCTAGTTTGCCCCTGAGCCCCAGCGGCGGATGGCTGGTAGGCGCTTTTCATATGCGCTCATTCCACAACCTGTAACCGCTGAGTGTAGTTTAATACCTGTCATCATCTTATTTGAGAATATATATTGATATTAGACAGGGAAAAAAATTATGGAATCTTCTGGATCTAAAAAAATAAAATATATATCACTTCTCCTTAATTCCTTAAACTTCAAAAGGAATTTGGAGCTGTACATGAAAATTTAAATACGGAAATAAAACTTGCCAGACTCACATTCTTTCTGGACTTGCAATGAGGCGAATTCCCCTACCTACCTACCTACCTGTGCAGGATGTGACAGTTAAATTATTATTTTGACACGCCTTACCTCAGGGGTTGTGAGACCTAATGAAATACATAGTGGAACTTGTTCAAGTTCAGAAAGGTAAGTGGAAATTGGATCTCTAGTTTCTACCAAAACCGTGCAAAGGACTTGCAAGATTCTCAGTAAATAATGTGGCTTTGCTATCTTTGTTCTGAAGTCTGTGAAAAGAGTAGAATTGGAAAGGTGACAGTCTCCCTATAGTTAACCTAGAGGTCACAATGGCTTAGCACTTCCCCCACCACCAACACTACAAGGTTGTCTCTGAACAATGTGAGTGTCTGTTCCAGGAGGCTCATTGAATATTCTAATTTGAGACAGCAAGGGCCTATGAATAACCTGGTTACTACCCACCTAGTGTATGTTGTGTGTGTTTTTGTTGTTATGAAAGTGCTTAACTCCTTTATTGCATTACTTAATTATAGTTCACCTATTTCATCAGCTGCCAAGCCCATTTCCAAATGAGTTAGGTCAGTTTCTGTTTTCCCAGTGTGTTTAGATATTTCTTTGCCACTAGGAAAGTTCCTGTCTGAAGAAGTTCTATATCGTATCTCTATACTCTATGCAAGTATGCAAGGCCAATAGTTTTATTCTAAAGCATATGGAAAAAAGATAAAGCCATTGTTATTTCTGAAATTGCCTCTTCCCCCCCCAAAAAATGATTACTTAGAAATGCTTTTCCCAAATGACTATTCTCACTTATTTTAGATTCCAGCAAATAGTTCATTATTGCCTTTTTGTGGAATTTATACATCTTTATGACTGTGGAAAGAATATAGACATCTTCAGTTCCATCCTCTGCCTCAAACACATATAGATTTAAGTCGCTACACACTCAGTCATTTGGTTATTTTTAAATTTTATAAGTATTTTATATTGATGTTCTTACTATATATATTGGGAAACTATAATCCAAGTTCCCATAGAAAAGCAGGGCTAAACTAGGAAAATTCACACCTGAGTGTGCCAGCACTTTTTAGTTTACTGAACGTAAGTAAAAGGTTTACGATTCCCCAAACTAGATAACACATTTCTAAATAGTCAACAATTTAGAGCTCAATTATCATTTTTAATCTTCTGTCTGTACCGGAGCAAAGAGGAGAAATTTTTATCTTGAGTTTAGCAATTAGTGCTTGGGGTCTCTTGATCTAAAATCAAACATTTTCATTGATACCCAGATAGTCTTGGGAGCATGCTCCTGAGTGATATCTCCAAGACAATTTATCCTTACTTTATTGCACAGTGACAGACAGTTGAGCAGAATATAAACATTTTTCCTTGAAAATATGAGACGCACAGATCTCAGTGAGACATTGGCTTGCCTCAGATCTTTTCTGTGGATCTGAGAGTTTATAAACTGCCTGAATGTTAGCTCACCTGAGATGACACATTATAGCCAGGAAGAATGATGACAGGCCTCTCCTGTCTGGTTTTGACCTAGGTATCCTAGCTGCCTTCCGCATCATCTTGCCATATGAGCAACTTGGGTAATTGGAGTGTATGGTTCTGCACTGGAGGCCAAATCCAGGAGTTGGGAAGGGAACTAACAGTTACTAAATTCCTAACATGAGCCAGTCCTATTGTGTGTTAGGTACTTTACATGTAGCATATCATTTACTTCTTAAAATAACTGTATGAGATAGGTGTGATCAGCCCAGTTTGACAAATGAAGTAACTAAGGCTCAGTGAAGAAACTTGAGTAAATGGCAAGAGCAATTGTCTTCTGTCCATCTTTGCCCAAGAATCTGCCGTTTCCTGCCTAGTTGTCAACCAAAAGATGCAAATGCCATGTAAGAAATCCTGTTCAAAGAGACTATAACTTAAGGTGTGGTTTCCTCATCTGTGTCTTTATTCTGAATATAGACCTACGCAAATTGTCTAATTAATTTGGTTGTAACTTCTGCTGGGAACATTCCTTCAGAAGACAATGGGAAGACTCCCCAAAGCTGTAATAGGAGAGACGCCTGGGGAGGAGCACCCTGACAGCCATCGCCTTGGTATGACAATTCTGGAAGCTTTGAAAAATGAAGTAATGTAACAGACTCGGTGTCCACTGGCGATGCCTTATGTAAGACTGGGTGTCTAGTTACAGGGCAAATAAAGGTTCAATGACATTCTAGGTTAAAGTAATGATTTAATTGACTATGATACACAACATGATTTGATAGTTGTCCAGGAAATAAGGCTAATTCTTAATTTTTTAGGACAAAAATCCTGAATTTTAAATTTGAGGCATGAAAGTGAGTTAAATATAAATCCTCTTGAAAATCCTCCATGCAGGGAAAAAAGCCTAACTTTCATATATATGCATATGTATATGTATGTGTATGTGTGTGTGTGTGTGTGTGTATGTACATGCACACACACATTTATATATGCCAGACTTTATAGTTCTGAATCAAGAGACATAGGTGGTATATAGAATATAGGTTTCACAGCCCAGTTTTTATTTGACCCTTTCAGAAAGACTTTTTTCTCATCTGTAAAATAGAGTTTATAATACCTATGTTATCAGGTTATTGTACATGGACTTAATAAATTGGATGATATTAGAAAATAATAAAATTGCTTTTAAAATTAGAAGTGTTATTATCATCATCATTAACAAGTGCTTTCTTAAAAAATACCTCACTTGATCCTTACAATAACTCCCTTTTAACCAGGAAAGGTGTTATTATTCCCATTTTACAAATGAAGAAACAGACTTAAAAAGAAATGTCATCCGTGTGTGAGGCTTTATGTCTAAATGTGCTGACCTTCTGCTGTGGATGCCCCCAACTCACTCTTTACTTCTGGTGAAAGTTCTCCTCATTATCTAAGACTGTTCTCCGATAATCCCCTCCGCCTTTCATCTCCCACCACTCAAAAATAAATGTGCGTACTTACCTGGCGGGGGTGGTACCATGATTACGAAAGTCGCTTCCCAGGGCGAGGCTTATCCACTGCACTCTGGATGCGCCGACCGCTGCCACTTCCCCATACGTGAGAAACTTGACTGCATAATTTATGGTAGTGGGGGACAATGTCCTCACTCTTCCCTGGCAAAAAATAAAATAATAGAATAAATAAATGGGCAGCCTCTCTTCCTCATCTCCCTGGCACCTCTTCTATTTCTGTGGTTCTGCACTTTTCAAGGCACAGTGCGTGTATCTAGCCCTCTCTCTCCTTCCTGGTGTTGTACTCATCTTTTTTCATGGACGTTGTGATAGACAAATATTGAATAGTCAGTAAATGTTAGTTGGATGAACGATTAGATTGATACTTTTAGTGTTCTCACCACTGTGTTTTGGCTCATCCAGCTGTTCTTTGAAAATGTGGTTGAGAAGCTAAATATTTTGAGACTTAGGCAATAGTTTTTAAAAATTCAATTTTAGTTTTTTCTGATAAAATCTAATAATTATTCTTCCCTCTTTTTCCCATTTCTATCTGTTAGTATAGTCTTTATTCACTAATGGTACTCTTAACAAAATTTAAACATATTTTAAATTACATAAACTGTGTGTGAGAGAGAGCCAGCAGTGATATGACTGAATAATGGATAATCAGTAAAAGAAAGAAAAGTATTATTTTAGAAATGGAAGGAACCTTAGAATAATCTTATCTAAAATCCATTTCCATGTCTAATCAACTCCATTCCTATGTCTCTGTTTCCAGAGGTAAGAAAACTCAGCTGCAGGAAAATGAAATTAGTATCTGAGCTAGAACTGGACTCCATAGTTCACGGGTGTAATGGCAGGGTTTTTCAGCTTTGGGTGTATTTGCATTATGGACTGACTAATCCTTTGCTGTGGGCCTTCCTATGAATTGCTGGATCTTTGGCACTTCTACCCACTAGATGTCAGTATCACCCCGACCCCTCTAGTTGTGACAACAAAAATGCCTCCAGACATTGCCAAATGTCCCAGGTTGACAAACTGGGTTGAGAACCACCAGTCTAATGGGTTTTCCATCGCTATAACACATTGGCATTCATAATTCACAGTTTGAATAATCAATGCTTAAGTTACCAAGACAAAATTAATTTTGGTGGTAAGCTGGATGCAAATATAAAATCAATTCCAGTGTTAAAAATCAACTTAGCAATTTTTATTGCTGATTTTAGCACCGTGTTCCCTGAATAATGATGAATCTTATTTATGACGGAGTCACTCATACTTTCTTCTTTTATCATTACCTTGCTGACTACCCCCATTCCTCCTTTTATAGTTCTGATCTCTTGGCTCTCATAACACTGCACTTCTTTTTTCTCCCGATTTTCTTGGCCATCGCTATTCACTCCTTACCACCAATTTCCCAATGTTCTATTATTTTTTCCATTCTGGACTATTTCCCTTGAAACATTTGAACGGCCCCTATGCCTTTAAAGGTCATATTTTCTCATGTGACTTTCAAATAAACTCCATCAACTCCATTCTATAATTAATATAATATAATATAATATAATATAATATAATATAATATAATATAATATAAATGGGCACTGTATGACTGCAAACTCTAATTCCTGCACTTGTTATGTTTTCCATTCCTGTCTACCAGCAGCAAGTGCCACCGCAAACCTGCTGATCTGCGTTTTCTACTCTTCTAATGCCACCGCCCTCCTTTGTATTTTCTACCCAGAAACTTGGCATCATTTATGAATTTTCTCCTTTCCTTTCCATCCCCAGGTGTCTAGTCCCATGAACTCTACTTAGGACAGGAGTTATATCTTTTACATCAGTTCCCTTTCAGCATCTTGTTCACTATCTTACATACAGAAAAACCTCAATGGATATGTATTGAGCAAATATAATTTGAGGCACGTAGTTACTAAAAATAAATAGAGGCTTAGCCGTTCTCCTTCTTTTTTATTTATTGGGTGTAGCTCAGTTCTTCCCACCTTAGCATTACACTACAGATTCCTATGTGCTTCCCACTGAAGGTGAAGTCACCAACTTAACCAAAAGTATATTTTCACAAAATAATTTTTTTTAGCAGCTTCAAATGTGCTAGGTGCATTATGGAGATTTGCTGAATGAAGAGTAATTAGCTTTTAGACTTTTAAATTACCTTTGTGTGCTCATTTTCCTCCCTCTTTTTGTTGCCCTAATTAAAAGACGGCAAATGGCAAACACTCATAATCCAAACTGTTGCCCTTTCAGGAGATGTTTCTTTTGAAACAATAATGTAAGAGTGATTGAAATTTCTGAGTTGGACTATAGGGATAGGTATAAGGAGCAAGATGGAAGGGAGTAAAGGTGAAAAGGGTTACAAAATGACTCTCCCATATAACATTATGCTGAAGAAAACAATTTTTCCAAAAAAAGCCATTCGAAATGATACAATGGAAATGAATCTTTGGCTTTTAGGGGATGCAAGTCCCATATTAGGAGCTCTTAAATCACCAAATTCTAAATACTCAGATTAATAAAATTGCACCCTTTACACAAGAGTTGATATGCTTTCTCCTGCATTATGAGAACATGTCCATTATGAACAAGATAGGTCTTTAAATCTATTTTAGGATAAAATAAATTATACCCTTGTATTTTGACATACTTACTCTAAATTTGAATAACTTTAGGCATAGTATTGTATGGTAACTAAAATATGAGCATTTTGAACTATGATTCAGAAATTACTAGCAAAATTGAAGAGTATAATGTTTATGAATTGAAAAACATGGCCTATTAAATATTTTCATTCCCCTTGATAATGAGAATCTTATGGCTGTCTTCTAATGTCAAAATTAAAAGAAATATTTATTTGTAAAGACTCTAGTTTCATTCTGTTTATCTCAAATAGTTATAATTGGTTTTTACATTTAGTTTTTTAATGAAGCTTAGTTAAAAGGTTAACATTGAAAAACTGTAAGAAGAGAATGATTGCTAGTACTAAAGGCATTGTTATTTATAAATATATGAAAAGTAGGATGTTGTTGGAAAGTATTGAAAGTAGTTTTTTACAATATGTAATGTGATAGACAGCAAGACCATATCTAATAATGGAATGTAATTTAAAACAGAAGGCATCTGAAACTGGTGAAAACATGTTCACTCTTCAAAGCATAACCTGCTTACTAAGTTATAGACAAATGATAAAATTATAGACTGCTGTGGAAGAGGAAGAAAACTAACAATCCATGAATAGATTCACATGCAACCACAGCAAAACTATGAAAAAAGCGGATTTTGCTGCCTGTTTGGGGTGGGCAAGTATTATGATTTATTACGAGTTTGCTGTTCTGTTCTAAACATTATAAAAGGTAAAATAGGAAAATAATTTTTATCCCTTTCATTCGGTAAACTATGTCATTTTACTTTTATGTGCTTGACTGTTTTTCAGGACAACCATTTTTATACCTGAAAATTGCAATTGATTTTGCTGACTTGACTTGTAGACCAGTGACCAAGTCCCTGCCTCCTTTTAGATGAGCCTCTCAGTGTGGTAAAAAAAAAAAAAAAAAAAAAAAAAAAAAAAGGTCAAAAGAAACCAGGTGAAATGGAAGGACATTTTTGACCCTTGGCACCCCTCCTGCTATTGTGCAAGCACTTCTTAGTGTCCCAGCGCCCACAACATTCAGTGCAACCCCCATTCAGGTGATAGCACTCAACTTGTCCCTTGTGTGCGGTCCCCAATATTATGTAAGGGTGTAGGCCTGGCCCTGACTCACAGGTTAGAGGGAGTTTGTATCCTGTGAGTCACCGGCACCACTTCCTGCTGGCACATTTGAGATTTCATTACAATGCCGTCTCTGAAAGGTGAAGGTAGGAAGATGAAAAGGTGAGCTTCAGAATCCTAAAACCCACTGGAAATTTGACAGAAAAACAAATGGCCTTTAACGGGATTTTGATTTTCATAAAAGTATTGAAATAGAAATTCCAACTGCCAATTTAGAGGGTATAAATCATTTACCTTATATCACCTTGTGCAGAATTCCTCATATCTTATTTACCAATATAAACTTGCCACTAGATCTGTTTTTCTGACACTCTGACATGGTTCAAAATTTTTAGTATCATAGTCAATTATTTTCTTAGCAGGACCCATGGTCAAGGATTGAAACTCAAATATAATATTTACAGTTGAATCTTCGATCATTATGTTCAAATAACACTAAAGTCATGAAAAACTAAAAGATTAAAAAAGTATTAATATGACTTTAGCATCTGTTCCTTCCCTGAATGGCTTTAAAATAACAAGTAGCGATTCTTAAGGGTGACAGGGTAGTAAATATCAGAATCTTTCATGGTGGAGTTTTTCAATCTTTTTAAAACAGATTTTTTAAAAGATTATTTATTTATTTATTTTTAGAGAGAGGGGAAGGAAGGGAGAGAGGGAAACCTCAATGTGTGGTAGCCTCTTGAGCGCCCCCTACTGGGGACCTGACCCACAACCCAGGTATATGCCTTGACTGGTAATCCAACCAGCGACCCTTTGGTTTGCAGGCTGGCACCCAGTCCACTGAACCACACCAGCCAGGGCGAGTTTTTCCAACTTTTCATCACCCCCACTTACTCCTTTACCCCAATTTGCATGGGCCTGGGGTAGAGGTGAGACAGAGGGAAGCTTGAGAACCACTGTCTTAAAGCAGTAGAGCTGTGTAGATGAACCCATGATTTAATACCAATTTTGCTCTCCTATTGGCTACATACATCCATGATGGAACTGCAGTCTAAACGCTTTCTTTTGAGAGTAGCATTTAAAGTTATTTACAATTTCATCTGTAAAATACCCGGATGTTGGACTAATGCAGGGAGTCTCACAGAAACCATCCTGAGCGATGGACTATGTCCAAGGGAGTGTCACAGGTTAGGAGAGCCCAGTTTTCGTGGAGGCACACCCTGCACTGAACATTCTTTAATTCACAAAGACAAATATTTCACCTGTGGCCTGACCAACTGGAACAAGGTTTCCAACAATGGAAAAACTAACAAACTGCTAAAATCCTTAAAACAAAACAAAACAAAGACTGAGAAGTGACACCCCCAAATGATTAGCTGGATTCTAAAATAGTCCCAGGTTGCAATTGGAAGGAATTCCAAACAGGAGAGGCTAGTTTCTGATTTCTGCGAAGAATAAAGAAATGAGCTTCAAATATGCGTTTGCACCATGGACCTGGCTGGCCCTTTCTTGGTGGGAGAATTGATGATGTTATCTCCAAAGAACTCCTCAGCTGAAAAAGCATGGGGGAGTAGGAGAGTCAAGGGTATAAAAACATAAATCAAGAACTCCAGTTTATGTTGAACAGACTGTGTAAATTAAAGGGTTTAATTCTTCAGTCATTAAAGTGCATAGCAAAATTATTTCGAGAAGTAGAACAAAATTGACTTGGATGAGACTATAGCTCACTCTCCATGAAAACTATGAGACAAAGTAATCTTTTTTCGTCATGATTCAACTGACAATGAAATCCACACTTTAGCCATTTTTCTTATTTAAGAAAGATGATATTTTTTCTTATAAGAGTAATTGAAATAGCATTTATATTGTAGAAACAGAGACGAGGGAAGAGATAGTTTTAAACTTTTCAAAAAGTATTTTCAAATCATTGAAAGATTATGAGATGATGTGAAAAGATACATTTATAACTCTTACCTTCTTTGGTCACTGGATAATTGGTCCTAGACAAAATATTTAATTTAACTGCACAGAGGTTGTCTGAGGCTAGTAACTATTTCCCAGGATTGTTACAGGTATCAAGTTTGAAACATAAAATTACAAACTATGATGCTGATGAAAAGAATATGCAATTTGCTTAACAGATACATTCCTCCTCTGAGGAAAAAAATTAAATAAAGTCCTTTATTACATGTATTAAATCATCATTTGAAATACCCAATTACAGATACTATAATCTTGTTACAGACCAGTAGAGGGCACTACCCATATATACGGCTAACACCAGAGGCTAGATGATGCGTACCAAGGGACAGTTATGGAAATCTTTAGTGTGTTAGACATTTCAGAAAAATATCATTTCATTTAATTTTCCCAAAAACTCTAAGGGAGGGGAAATAAATCACATAGCTCAAGCTTTCTCCCAGGATTGCTTTTTCATCATACTTTGTTGCCTCCCTTTGGGGTTAAATAATCTGCTTCAATTACATTTACATTTGTTTGTTCCAGCTGTTGTCTATTATACTCCAGTATTGTTTCTGTTTCCAAATTCTGGAATGTGGTCCATTAACAACAACACTGTGTACCCGTAGGAAAGTTACTTAAACTCTTTATGTTTCAGTTTTCTCATATATCCAATAGCAGCACTTAGTATCTTCATCAAAGAGTCAATAACATGGTTAAATGAGATAATATAAATAAGGTGGATAGAATCATGCCTGCATATAGTATGTGTTCAAGAAATGCTGCCAATGTTACTACCATTTTTATTTATATAACAGTCACTCATACAGACTGGAAAGAGTGGTTGAAGTACAAATAACTAATTCTTAAACAGATGAGACTGAACTCTCTCTAGTAAGTATCTGTGCAATTAAACCCATCCTTCTTATGTTTTCTATGCAATTTGGAAACTACTGGAGTCATTCTGGTGCCTGTTTCCCAATATTTATTTTTTCATGGAAACACATGATGTTCAAATGCTTCCCAGGCTGATAGAAACTATACTCTAGGGCTCAGTGTGGTTCTTCTAGCATGTATGCTCATTCCCATACTAAATATATTCTGACTTTGCTTAGGTTACATTTTACAATGCAAAGAGCAATTTAGGCACTTAAATCAACAACAAATACATCTTAGGCTGAGAATCCTGTATAGTTGGTACCATGAGTAGAACCTTATTTGAAGCTTTCCTGTGTGTGTGTGTGTGTGTGTGTGTGTGATAGGTTCTACTTTAGAGCATTGCTTTGAGCTTAAAACAGAATAAAACACTGGAAATCCTACAATATTCCAATTTCTAAGCTTCTTAAGATATCAGTCTTCAAAATCAGGTCTTTGAAATGTTCCTGTGAGATATTTAAAACAGGTTAAATCTATAACTAACTGTGAATGTAGAGCCAAGGCTTGTACTCTTTGATATAAGAGCTGGGGTTGATTTTCAATTATATGCCTGTTTCTATTAATTATTTTCTTTTATGATTTCAATTAATCAAATTCCTGAATTAATTAAAACAACTCTATACATACTGCAGTTATGTGGAAATATGACCAAGCTTTCTTTCCTTGAAGCATTAATTACATATTTGATTCTTTCATAAATAGGTTTTCACCTTCTACAAGCAGTTCTCAGTACGACTGTGATTCCTTCATGTATTCCAGGAGAATCGGAAGACAACTGCACAGCTTTAGGTAAGTCCAACTTTGTCAACAGTGCTTCAAAGGATTACACATTTTTAACAGAAATATAAATTCAAAGACTACACATATATGATAGCTACTGTGTTATCAAAAGAATTTTTTAACCCCCTTATGAACTAGCAATCTGGAAAACTTATGCAAAGAACTAACTGGGGAGTAAGGAACTATAACTCCCTCTAGTAGTAATATGGAGAAATTTGATCTTAAAGAGATAAGGAGCAAGAAAATCAGATTCCCTGTGGCCATTCTCCGGAGCTTGGCTGTGAAACCATTGTTAACAGCTGGATCCTAAGCAAAATAGGGAAATTTAAAATTTGTACACAGTAGATAATCAAAGTATTTTTGTTGTTTTTTTTTTGTAAGAGGAACAAGTGATGTCCTGTCTTATTAGTCACAGCATTCATTCAGAAACATTTATGGAGCACTTGCTACATGCCAAACATGGTGTTTAGGCATAGACATACAAATTCAAGCGATGCACAGTCTTTTTCCCTCAGAAACCCTAGAGCACTCTGAATGTGGCTCTGCTTTATATATTTAGCCAAGGGTCACTGTGTCATTGAGTCAAGGGTTGTCCTGAGCTACTGAGTCAAGGATTATTCATGCTGAGGAACCAAGACGTTTTCCACAGCAACTTTACCTTCTTTCTTGTCTTCCTTCCTCACTGGGTTCTTTGGAGGTTTGGTCTGCTTCCCTCTTCTCACCCTACCCCCACCTTGTTGTTTTTTTTTTTGTTTTTGAACAAAAACATTGCAATCAAGATACTATTTTTAAAAAATTATTTTATAAACATTCTGCACATTTTAGTAACTAAAATATTTCAAAGTGAATTTTACATGTAAGTTCCAACTCTATTTCTAACAATGCTCCTATTTTCATTGTTGTAGTTGCTTAACTGAGACATTTGTAACTCAGGGTTTATCTAGTTCATATTCAAGTCTTATTGTTAGAGAAATTGGGAGGCTTTGATTGATTTCTTTGATGGTAACCTCAAACATTCTGGAAAGCACACCAGAACAAGACTTACTAGCTTAAAAGCTAATATAGAATTTAGCTCTTTTTAATTAATTAACTTATTCAGCTCATAATTGCTTTTAGAATAATGAATTTCAGAACTATTTTGAGATTAAAAAATTTAGACAAACTTTGGCTAAGTGAATAACTGTGGAGGGTAATGACTTTGTGTATGTGTTGTGTGTGTGTCCTAAACTTGCCTTTTCTATCTTTAAATGTCTTTTTGAGAATTAAATCCCCACATGTCTCTGGCTTAGTCTGTTGGACACTTTCCTTTGGGCTCTGGTGTTCATTTATTGTTTAGGGAGTATGATAACTAGAGTAACTTTCTACTTCTGAAAATTCTCCTCTCCTTCAGTACCTGACTTGCTTTGATACAGTGGATCAGTGGTTACTATTATAAGAGGATGTTTAAAGAAGGCAACAGAATATATTAAACTTTCCATTTTCTTCACAGTTCAGCCAAAAAATGATCCACGTGTGGCTCGAGCGTCAAGAACAAAGTGTACCTCTGACATGAATGGCTACTGTTTACATGGAGAGTGCATCTACCTGGTGGACATGAGTGAAAAATACTGCAGGTAACATTCCAAAAACAAACAAACAAACAAAAAAGAAAATTTTTTGAAACGTGTATTTCTTTATTTATTTTTTAATTTTTGAAGTTACTCTATCTTTCCATGGGAGTAGAATACATGTACTTTGAGTATGCAGTTTATATGCACTATTAAAAACTTTATTCAGTTTTCTTTAATTACAGAGCAAATAGTAGTTATCAAATTGCACAGATACTTCTGGAGTATAGATTGGAGAGGGCTTCAGATGCCTCCCTCTCACACTTGCCACAAGAGCAGCTCAACTTTTAATCTTTTCACTGGACTTATCAGCCACTGTTTTAGGGATTGATTCCACTGATATAGACAAAAAGCACTTCCAACCCCCAAAAGTTATGAGACACTATTCTAGATGGGCAGTCACCCTGGCAGCTGAACCAGGCCGTCATTTTCATACCGCAATTTGGCTTGAGAGCTATGTGGAGCACTTCTTATGAACGTTGGCCTAGTTCTAGGTCCGTCTTTGGATTCATTTGTCCAACTTTTGGCAAACCTTGTTGATTCCTTGCATTATAGTGTGAGATCAGTTCTTACAAAACTAAGTCATAACCATGTTTTTTAAAAAATAATTGATCTTTCTCTTGCATTTTCCTTTAGGTGTGAATTGGGTTATGCTGGTGTCCGATGTGAGCACTTCTTTTTAACTGTCCAACAACCTTTGAGCGAAGAATATGTGGCTCTGGCTGTGATTCTTACCATCTTCTTTCTTCTCTTAGTCGCTGGTTCCATATACTACTTCTGGACCTGGTAAGCCAGTGTTTGTTTTTTACACTCTGTTTTTACAAATTATTTTTATACAATATAGATTTTCAAACTGGTTAAAAATATTGCTAAAGTATTTTTTTAGAGGCATAAGGTAGACTCTGCTGATGTTTATACAGAAGTTTTAGTGGCAGAACATTTGGTTTTGATTCTATTATTAGCTCTGCTACTTACTACCTATGTGACCTTACGCAAATCAGACTTGGAAGTATCACTTCTTTATAAAATAAAGATAGAAATCCTTACCCTCACTAATTACAGAACTTCCTCAGTGTTAAATATGATAATACATGTGAAAGTAAGCCATAAGCCACAATGCCAGTGTTATGCTTAGTCACTTATATTTAACTTATTGGGTCAAATTTTTGTAGTTCATGAAACACAACCTTATAAATTAAATAACCCCAGAAACTTAGTATCTTAAAATTTAAGGCAGACTAATAGATATGAGTTTCCAGACAATTATAAAAGCTTACTTTTAAAAATTGGTTCATGTCAGTCTCCCAAAACAATCACGCTCCATCCTCGTGTACAATCTGGTCACCTTCATGTGTGGTCATGTACAATGCCATAGTGTCAGGGTTAGGACCAGGATGTGGGAAGAGTGTGCATTAGTTAATAACAGATGGTTTTAAAACATCTCCATGAAATCCTTCTTGTTTTGGAACTGTTACAAATTTGTCAGTGTACATCTGAATGAATTTTTTTTTTTTTCCTGAAAGGACTGCACTTCTTTAGAAGGTCTGAAAGTGTGCTACTTTTACAAGATTAGGAAGGTAATAATACCTTCCTAATTAATTATGATCACAGAACTGAATATGATTAAATCTGAAATACACCTAAAAGTTGTTTGACAACAATTCTTTCCTTTATAAAGATGGGGAAAATGAGATCGAGAGTGGTAATCTGTCATGCCCCAGCTCACGCAGTTGGCAAGTCTAATCAAAGGCTTTTTAATTGTGTTCTTCCACTAAGCATAGACTATATGCTTCATTCTAAAATGGGTAGAAAATTAACACAAAATATTAGGAAGAGAGTGTGAATAAATGAATGAATGAATGAATGATTCTGAATCATGATAGATTTATGAATCCTAGCTGGGAGATCTTGGCCAGGTAATATAACGTGTTTGTACTTCACTTTCTTCATCTGTAAAATGAAGATGATAATGATAAATGTGAGGATAAAATAAATAATGAATGTATAATACTTAGCCATTATCAGTCACCTAATTAGTGGCTGATAAATACTAGTTATTTTAATTTTTATTGGCAATAGCATTACATCAGTGTGATGGGTGGAATGTAGTAATATAGTGCAATATTCAAAATACATATTCCTTAGTAGGTAGGTAGGACAGAAGGAAACAAAGAAAGGGGAAGAGAGAGAGAGAAGGAAAAAAAAGAAAGAAAAAGAAAAAGAAAAAGAACCAAATTAGTTTAAATGTGGTCACATGCTCCTGGAATTTTACAATTTTCATAGTAAGGTTAAAGCCTCTGAGGATTCCTTTAATTGCGTTTCATCATTTTCTTCCAAAATTATCTGACCACAGACTGCTACTGCTTCCTCTCTCCTTATTTCTCCTTTCCCAACCTAAATCTCTTTTGTCATTCTGGAAATGCTGTGCTGATACACCTTTTGAGTCCATATATTTGTTCCTTTTGTTAATATACTATGTGGTTATTACTGTGAAATACAGTGCTGATATTTTCTTTCTGAATATTTCTAGGTACAGAAATCGAAAAAGTGAAAAATCAAGGAAAGAATATGAAAGGGTGACCTCAGGGGATCTGGCGTTGCCACAAGTCTGAATGGCGTCATCAAGCTCATGGGCTGGGAGGTGCAGCATGCCTGTTGACGTTAATATTCCTATTTTATTAATAATATTTATGTAGGGACATGTGTTGTTGACAATGGTATATTTTTAATATACTTAGAAACATTTTTTATTTTTGACATACTATTTGTATAATGTGCACAAATACAGAAAAAAATTAATATATATATTTTTTCCTGGGCTAAATGCTTTGTTGAAAGCTCCAATGCTTATTTGCCTGCTGCAAATAAGTTGCTCAGGAAGTACTGGCAAATGACAGGTTTCTGTAAGCCTAAATACATGGTCGAATTAATTTAATAAATATATTTTTCTACTCCTCAAAGCAATGATAATTGGTTTGACTATATCATAGACTGAAGTATACGTTGTGTTATGTATCGAAACCCTTGATACGATGGGAATGGGGGAGAAGCCAATATGAATCATGTGCTAAACATTACCCATTTGAAACAAACTAAACTGGGAGAGTGCTGTTCCCTCCAGGCCCGTCCTCAGCTATAGCTCTCTCTCTGCCTAAGAGGGAAGTAGACAATTCTCCTGTGGATCCTAGCCACCCATGTAATGGATTCTCCTTCAGTGGAATGGACTGATAACTTAATTTTATACTATCTTTTATACAAATAGTAGATATTTTATAGCTTCACAATACTTCTTTTTATATAGCATTTATGTGAGATAACGGTTGCTCATGAGCTAATTATAAAGAAGCTCACACTTAAAGCCAAAATGTGAACTTCTTTTTATTTTCATGGGGGTTTTGCTGAAGAATTCTAAGGTTAACTCATAATCCAAAGTTTGATGACTAATCATTATTTTAAAGCATAAGACAATAGTTCTATATGTTGCCCAAATACAGAAATGCAGTTATTTTGTACATAAAGGATTTTTAACTTAAAAAATGAAGTAAGTAGCTTTTTGTAGAATTTAAAATCACATATTTAAAATTATATCCTGATGCTGGATGTGGGGAAAGTAAGAAAAATAAGTCACAGTATATATTACAAAATGAACAAATTTATTTGAAAGCATTTCCAATTTAGACTTAATCCTTCGTCCTTCCTATGGAGACTGAGATGATATCAGGCCCTATCTTTTTGTCCTTTGTTTATTTTTTGGAAAAGATAAGGTTTCTTTTGTGCTCAGAGCCTATGGTCTCAATGAGTTAATAAGGGTACTTGGGGCAACTGCGTAAGGAGCCGCAGCTGTCATCAGCTTTCGATCTACACCAGACGTTTGGGTAGAGTCTCTCAGGATTACACACCTGGCCAGGAGCGGTCTATTTTTTTTTTTCCACTTTTTATCCTGACATATGCTAGGGCAACCAAGAGAAAATGGCTAACCTCTGAAGTGCCAGGTGCTAGGACTTGCTTCCTCTTGAACCCCTGCATTACGTAGCCTGGTGCATCCACACGACTCACCCAAAGTCCTGGATCTGATTCCTTACTGTTAAGGGAATGAATATATATATGCATACTCACATGCAAATACACAAGCACACATAAGCTCAATCAATCAGAATTAGTCATTTGTTGCATTATCAAAAATACATAAAACTTAATAAGATAAAGAGAAATAAAATAAAATTTAGTCAGAACAAAAAGGATATTTCTGTTCCCCATTTAATATAGCTGAAGTCAAATGTACTGTGTAAGAACTCATTTTAAATCCTGTACACACTTATTGACCCTGTAAACAAAGTCTGCCTATTTTAAGTGATCTTGATGACTTCAAAGAGTATGTGTTGACTAACCAAGAAATCAGTTTCAATTTATTTATTCAAAAAGGAGATATATTGGCTTATCTTAAGCATCTTAGCTCATGTTACATATCTAATTGTAAGTATTTGGGGTGTTTCTAATCTGCATTTAAGAATGCTTACAAGCCCTGACTGGTGTAGCTTACTTGGGCATCATCATGCAAAGCAAAAAGTTGCCAGTTTGATTCCTGCTCAGGGCACATACCTAGGTGGTATGTTCGGTCCCCAGCTGGGACACATACAAGAAGCAACTGATCGATGTTTCTCTTTCACATCAATGATTCTCTCTCTCCCTTCTCCTCTCTCTAAATATAAATAAATGAGAGCTTTAAAGAAATTTTTTAAAAAAATTTTGTATAAAAAACAACCTCTACAATTTAAGTGTTTATTTAGAAGTGCACATTAAATAGTAAAAAGGTATGACCCAGATCATTGTTTTTGGATGAAAAATAAGTAAAAATTGATTGCCTTAATGAGGATAATACTAAGAAAAACTAAAAAACATGATTGCTATCATCTCTTGTTTCCTACAGGCCATGGGAAGATTTTACTTACATTTAGTCTGTCTTCCTCCTTTTACAGATTTCTCGCTATATTTCTCGAAGAGACTATTCATAGCCAAAGTATTGAAAACAAATGCAAATCCAATGCATAAATGCATAATTTACAGCTACCCATGAAGGCCACACAAAACTCCCTTGACAAACACTCTATAACCAAGGACATTAAGCTCTATGATTGGTACAAAAGGCTTAAGCTCAAAATTGATATTTATGTAATATATCAAACACTTATACAATAGAACATTACTGTTCTAGACATTTTTTTTTGCTCTCATCTTTCCCAAATGTCAAAGCAATAGGAGAAATGATGCACTGGTATGACTATGTCTAACTCAGATTTTTATTTTTGCATCCTTGAGAAGAAAGCTGAACTCAGTTGTTGTCTGATAATATATTTTTATGCAACAAATGCATGGTAGTTTCTCATTTCTATTGACTTCATTAATACAGTTTGTAGAAACTTACATCTGATCCACTTTGTCACTTGCTGCAATATCTATCCTGGAGACTTGGAAAAAAGGCATTTAATTTGCCACCCAATATTTTCAGGGTTTTTTCCTACTCTTATTCATATGGGAGATGGGAGAGTAACAACTTGTATAAAGCGTTCTGGAATACTTTTTTTTAATTATATTTTTTCCACTACCATTTATCCCCCTTAGACCTTCTTCCACACCCCCCCCCCCCCCCCCCCCCCACAGTCACCGCACTGCCATCCGTGTTCATGAGTCCCGTTTCCTTTTTCGCTTGATTCCTCCACCCTCCAATCCCCTCCCCAATAGCTGGAGTACTTTTTAATATTTTAACTAAAGAATAATTTTATCTCAAACATATATGTTATTCAGATTGGAATGATGTTAAATATATTACTCTCTTTGCTTTTCTTGTACTCTGTAATTGCACTTTTAAAGTTTGGAGAGCCATTTCGGCATACAGTTTATATTGAAGATGCCATGGAACATAAGTTGTATTGCCTGCAGATTAAAGCAATTTATGCAATAATGAATTTTATCAGAGTACTGAATTGTATCAATTTGTTTGTGCTCAATATCACCTTTGATGATTGTGTTCCTTAAGATATTGAAGGAGACTATACAAGATATTGTTGATGTTTATTTATTTTTGTTGAGAACTGGAAAAGAATTGAAAAATAAAAATGCATTTAGCCATGCATTAAAGACTTCACCGATATAGTCTCTTTTGCTTTTTTTCCATAATTCACTAAAAGACTTAAAAGCAGTGACAAAACCACAGTGTATTTAGATATAAAGATGATAGTCTTAGTTTGCCAAAGCATTATATAACTTTATCACATTTTTTTGGCCACCATAGTCATAGTCTTTGAAATATAAAAAGCCACATTATTTATAAAATGCTATGTGTTGTTTTAAAAATATTTTTAAAGAATATTTTTAAAGAGTACTTCTAAGAAGAATAGATACCTTAATTTAATCAAATTAAATTGGAATTATTTTGAAGGATTTTTATTTACATTCAATATTATTTTGTATTAATTTCAGGTATATGCATAGTAGTTAAACAATCATACATTATACAAAGTATTCCTCTGATATTTATTTCCATTACCACCTGGCCCCATACATAATTATTATAATATTACTGTATTCTTTATGTTGTACTCTACATTCCCATGACTATTCTGTAACTACCAATTTGTACTTCTCAATTCCTCCACCTTTTTCACCCATCCCCCCAACCCCTTTCCCTTCTAGCAACCATCAGTCTTTTGTATATATCTATGAACTTTTTTCTGTTTTGTTTCTTAGTTTGTATTGTTCTTTAGATTACACATGTAAGTGAAGTCATTATGATATTTGTCTTTCTCAGACTGACATATCTCAGAGCAAAGTAGTGGCAACATGCTGAAGTCTAATATAAGTCCTTTGTAATCAAAACAACTTATCTTAAAAAAGAATTTTTGTCTTCATGAAATATTTATTTTAAATAAAAATTTACTTTTTCTTTAAAAAATGTGTGTGAATAACTATTTAAAGAGTCAGATGGGTACCAGACTTATCAGGGTGATCACTTTGTATGTTATATATAAGTCCTAATCATTATGTTGTACACTAGAAACTAACATCATATTGTATGCCAATTGTAGTTGAAAATTTTTTTAAATAAATAGATTTTTTTTAAAAGTGAAAAACAAATAAAAAGAATAGATACCTACTGAGAAGTAACTTGAAAGGACACATCAGCCAGAGCACATCTCACGATTCCCTCAGCTTCTTCCAGCTAACAGGCTTGGCTTCCCAGGCCTTCAGAGCAGGACACATTGGTCTCCCTGAACCTCCATCACAGTAATGGCTTCCCTAGCTCGTGCTTCAATAACCTATAGAGTGTTTTATCCATTTATTAGCTCCTTGGGCCATTTCATAGTCTGGGGAGAGGACAGGGAGGCATTGCTATGATCATTGTAGAGGGAGGGAAAGTAATTTTTCCATGATCACACTGATAGAAAAAGAAGAAGAAAGTTTGAGAAGCAAAGCCGTCTGATCCCCATTTCTATTGTCATTGTGGCCCAGTCAGAGGCAGCATAACCATCGTGGAGTTAATCAGAATCTAGTTTAGAATTTCCTTGGAAGAAACAGAAACTTTATAAAATAAAATTTTGAGGATCGCGTACAATCATCAGATTGACTCTGTTCAAAGTCAGAGAACCCAGAGGTCAAGAAAAAGAGCTCTTTGAAACCCTTTCCACTTGACTTCCAAGATACAACATGCACCTGGTTTTCCACCTGCT